TACGACTCTAATGCTTTATATGTTAAATCTTTATCTGTAAAGTAATTTCAGCTGTGAGATAAAAGTATGAAATGCAGTGTAACACAGTGTGAGGAAGTAATGGGTGGTTGGTGACCTCTGCTGCTGAAGGTCACACAGCTGTTTGTAGACCTAAATATGAATATTATTGAATATTATTAAATATTATTAAAGTTCTGTCCAATGAAGCTGCTGTATTCAGTGGCATATTTACTCAAATACTCTTTTCTTCTTTATACTTACTGCACTTTTTACTTCACTACAATTATCTGACAGCTTTACAAATTAAGTTTTGCACACAAAACCTGCAAATGTACAAAAGTAGAGCTGAAATAATTCAGTTTATCTTCTTATTTTAATAATCAATAAACATTTCATGGTTCCAGCTTCATAGTTGGGAAGATTTAGCTGTTTTTCCTTTAATAATTTGGATGTATTTGTAATAATTTGGAGGTTAGGACTGTTGGTTGGATAAAAACAAACAATATGAAGTTTCTCACAATTTTCCAGATATTTTTTACAAACCAATCAATCAATGAATTAATGCAGAAATGAATCAGCAGATGGATCCATAATGAAATGAGTTGCAGTCTGATACAACTGCTTTTTACATGAATGCAGAGTCAGAATAATCTAATTATATCATATTTAATAGAACAACAGTCACAGTTTAATACTTCAACTACATTTTACTGATTATATTTAAATACTTTTACTGAAATAATATTATAAGTAACATGAGTTAGGAGGAGTAGATTCCTTATTAAGGATTTTAATGTAGAAATGTTCCTTTTATATAAGTCTTAATACAAGTCTGGAGATGATTTCATCAACAGTTTTAAACTGTTAGTTGGACATAAAAAGTACATTGAGGAGATTTTGTTTTGCTTATCTTTCAGTTTTTATTTATTTGTGTGTTTGTTTGTTTGTTGTTGTTGTGCAGAGCTCAGCTGCAGACTGACATTCAGACAGGACAGGAAGAAGATTTAAATTATTGAGTTATAGGCTGTTAGTTAGACATAAAAAATAAATTGAGGCCATTCTCTGTTTATCTGTTATTATGTGTGTGTTTGTTGGAGTTCATTCAGAGTTTGGATAATTACACTTTTCCTTCTCTGACATGGTGTTAAATGGAATATTATGGGGTTTAAACTGTTAGACATAAAAACTATATTTATTTGCTCTGTTCTGTCCACTAAGTGATGGTTTCCATGATCCTTCTGGCCCGAACTGATTTAATTCCATCGTTGTGCAGCCGCAGTTCTTCCACCTGCAGACGTTATCTCCTACAGCGCTTTAATAAAACACTTTATTATCATTAACCTCTATTAATATCTCCGCGCTCGCTGCAGCTGAGCAGCATCGCGTTCAGCACTGAACTCTGGGAGAACAGAACCAGGTGGGTTTGGTATTCTGCTGCCCCGAACGTTCGCGTTACGTTCCACATAATTAACTAAATTCCTGTAATAGATGTTACTCGATTATCTTAAAGCTTTTATACCGTCTGCAGGCTCTCTGTTATATAACTGCTCTTTTATGTGTGTGTTTGTGAGGTTTTTACACACTTGTACTTCCTGTTAATTAAAGTATAATTATTAAAAATGGATCATCTCTGTGTCCCAGTAACCCACAGTGGATATTAAATATACAAGGAAAACCACATTTCAGCTGCTGGCTGCTTTTGTAAACTCAATTTTGTGAGTTAAAAAACATTCTTGATCAAGTAGCTTTAGTCGTTTTATTCAAAGTGATTTAATTTAGATTTTTTTTTATTTGTTCTGTTAAAACAAAAAATCTAGTAAAAAGTACTTCATCGGGAATGTTTCTGTAACTTAAGAAAAGTTAAAGTTAATGTCACTTAAAAGCTGCTTCATAAAGAATCTTTTTTAACTCACAAAAGTTAGTTTGTGTTACTTAAAAATAATCCATTTCAACAATTTATTTTTCAAACTGTTTATTATTTATTAATTTTAATTTTACTACTTTCACTATAATTGCTTTTTTCTGTACATAATGCAACTTGTTCCAACTAGTTTTCCCAAGTTATTTCAGGTCAGCACAGCTCATCAAAATAATGTTTGCACCTTAAAAGTTGTATAGTTTTATGTTGCAGCCACACATTTATTTAAGTGGTGACAGTCGCTGTACTTATATACACACATAGGAAACTAAAATAAGGAGGGTAAAACTGTTTTTTCCTGATTATACTGACATTATAAAGTACTTTTACAGTTTGATATTAGTAACTGAATACTTCCTCCACTGCTGATGTGTGAGACCTTTAAACGGTTGCAGCTCAATTATACGAGCAAAGATTATTTAAATATTATATAACATACCACAGTGTGTAGTATATAGTATTATATGTGTGTGTGTGTGTGTGTGTGTGTGTACTGTATGTACTGTAGCTGGAGACTGAAAGAGCTGCTGCTGTCCTACATGTGGAGGAGGAAGCTTTCATCTTCAGTTAGCTATGGTGTGTGGTTGTGTGTGTGTGTGTGTGTGTGTGTGTGTGTGTGTGTGTGTGTGTGTGTGTGTGTGTGTGTGTGTGTTCAGTCTCATTGTGTGTCTGAGCTCAGCTGCTGGAACCAAACAGAGCAGAAGAACAGAATAGATCTAGAGCAGATTATAATAGAACTAGAACGAAATAAAATAGAAGCAAACAGAAGATTAAAATGGGACAACCGATTCAGTGAGGACCTTAAGAGACCTTTTACAGGTGTATTGGCTATATATATATATATATATATATATATATATATATATATATATATATATATATATATTATATACTCAGTCCTGATCCAGTTCATCTATATATATATATGATATATATATATATATAACTGTTTCTTTAAAGCGTATACTACTAACCCTGTATGATTACTGTCACTGACTGTGTTTACATGCACAAAATATTCAGTTTTTTGCCCTTAATCTCCAAAAAAAGACAATATTCCTACCAAGCTAATAAAACTGAATATTCCACTAATTAGGGATACACGATTATTAACGGGAAAGATAAATTATCACCCGATATCGGTTGATATTGATTATTAATTTATTTGCAAATGCAGACTGATTGACTATAATGAAAGCTAAATGTTTGATGAACTTTACTCGGAACAAACGAATGAACATCTGAAGAGTCGGAACTGTTTGTTTGTTTCTGTTGTGTTAAAACTGATGTCAGTTAGATTTAGTTTGAACAGAGCTATGAAATATTAAAGCGTCCATTTCTGCTCGCTACATCTCCGCCTTTCTTTACCCTTTAAAAACTACAGGTCAGGAACTTGTGTTTAAAACACAACAAACTTTTGATTGCCTTGGGTTGATTTGTTTTTTAATTTAGCTTTGGTACTTTGGATACTACTGAATAATAGTATCGTATTGGTTTAAACATGGTGGTATTGAAAGTATTGATACCTTTAACAACCTTACGAGCACAGCCTCCCTCTTTCATTCGTTCTTGAAAAGGTCGGCGTTGTGATTTTGTAAAAATCCAAAAACCTGTTGATATCTGGAGTCTTTCATAATGTTTAAAAGTAGGCGTGTTTCTCCTTCAGACCAGAAATAATGGCTTTTCTTTTGTGCAAACTCTCGTAAACTGAGACGCATATTCTGAATAATCTGTATAAATGTCCAAAGAATGCTCCTAAAACCTGAATAATATCGACATATCTCACATTCCCTAATCGGATATATTGAGTAATTACAATTTGCTGCTACAGTTTTGAACAGTTTTTATGTTGCAGTGGATTCTGGGAGGTGGTTTAAAAGTTGAGGATGGTTTGAATCATTACCACATTTCCCTCCTCCAGATCTGTCTACATTTCCATCATCTAATTAAAACTCGTATCTAATCAGATCTCAGCATCCAAATTAAGATGACGTCATGGTTTGTAGTTTAGCTCCGCCTCTGCTGTCTCATCTGTGTGATGACATCACCGGGGGGTCTCCCAGTGGACGGCAGAGATTGGTGCAGACGTGGATGGGCCACTGTGTTCTCCACAGGGATTGGTTGCTGTACTGGTGAGGTCACCTCTCTCTGGCAGTAGTTATTCATGAGCACAGGCTGACTTGACAGACCTCTCAGAGAGCAGCAGCATTGAGAGCACATCAGGCAGTTAACTGGCCAGTCAACGTCAGTCAGGCAGTTTTCAGAGCTTTGTTAGATGCTAACAGGTAGCATCGTGTGAAGCAGAGGATGCTAACATGCTAGCTTACAGGCTGTTGAGGCCAGCAAACAATGACTGGAATGATTACAGAAGGTTGGCTTTAAATGAGTTAGCATTTTAGCTTTGAGATGTATTTTTGTGGTGGAAGCTCTGCAATGTCAGATGATGATGGTGAGTACAGATGTAATATGGGAAACTGTCAAATAGCAATAAGAAAAGTATGTGTTGTCGCCTGTGTAGTTTCAATCTGTTGCAGTTTGTCTGTAAATTAAAGCTCTGCGATGGTTTAACTACAGCTTCAGTACCAGTTTCAGGAACTGGTTGAGGTTTGGAGCCAGTTAGAAGCTTTGGTAAAACATCTTAACCAGTTTAAAGAACTGGTAGAAGTCCAGAACTTCAGAACGTCCAGATTAGATGAGCTGGTGGAGCTTCAGAGCCAGGCAGAGGAACTGGTAATTGCCTGGAACCAGTTGGAAGAGGTGTTGGGGCTCTTCATAGCAACGTATAGAAACTGGTAAAGTTTCAGAACCAGTAAGAGAGATTGGTAGAGCTTCAGTACTGGTTAGAGAACTGGTGAAGGCCTAGGTCAAGTTAAAAGAAGAAAATTTGAAAGAGCTTCAGAACCAGTTAGATGAACTGGTAGAGCTTTGGATCTATTTCGAGAAATTGGTAAAGTACCACTTTGAGGAAGGAATGGCGTTCCAGAGCAACACACAGAAACCAGTAGCACGTCAAAACCAGTTAAAGGAACTGGTAGAAGTTTTGAGGAAGTCATAGTAATGTTTGTGTTTCATTGTGTTTCAGATGAGGGGCCGTACACCAAACACTCTGCCGGGTCGCGACCTCCAGATGGAGCGCTGGCCATCAGGAGGCAGAGTATACCAGGTAACGCACAAAACACACAATTATTCTGCTGTTATGGTCTCTGTGAGCTATCCATTCCTTTGTTTCCCGTTCTCTTTTGGTTCGGCTCTGAGTGATTCCACCAGCAGAGCTAATAAGCACCCCGATGAAGGTAACAGCGCTGAAAATAGAACACACACAAACAGTTAGCTGATGTTTTCTATCCGTGTGACCTGCAGGAAGATGCTTGCAGTTGCAGTTTATCTCCTCCCACCTGGAGCTGGTGGCCTACTTGCAACTTCCTATCTGAACACTGCAATCAGAATCTTCCAATATTTCTGTGACAACAAATGAACATTATATATCAGAGACCTAGAACAGCTGTCAAAACAATGTAATTGATAGTAGAGAGCTGTTACAGCGAGGGACAACCTGCAAGCTCTCTGTTTCTCCAGTGATTAAATAAGAACATGAGGAACAGGTCCAACCAATCAGATCTGTCTTTGGAATTAGTTTAAAGAACAGGTTGAGGTTTGGAACCAGTTTATAGGAACTGTAAACCTTCAGGAAGAGCTGATAAAGGATGTGGTGGAGCATCGAACAGTTTAAAAGAAACTAGTAAAGGTTTTGAACTAGTTAGAGGAACAGATGGAGCTTTAAAACTGGTGGTGGAGGTTCTGGTGGAGATAAAAATCCAGTTGATGGAGCTTTAAAGCCACTTGTAGAAACTGGGAATTCTTCATAAACCAGTAGATGCTGAAAGTCGTGGATTTGGTGGATTTTCAGAACCATTTAGAGGATTTATTGAACCCTCAGAACCAGTTAGTGGAACTGGTTGAGCTTTAGAACCATTGAGATGAAATGATAAAGGTTTAAAACCAGTTAGAAGTTGGTAGAACTCCAGAACCAGTCACAGGAAGTGGTGGAGCCTCAGAAGGAGCTAGTGAAAGTAGCAGAGCTGCAGAACCAGTAAGAGGAACTGGTAAAGCTTTAAACCAGTTAGTTTAACTGGTACCTGGACCTTGTAACTAAAAACATGTCAACAAACTCGAAACCACCGCTGAGCGTCCTCATTGTAGGATTTACTTGTAGACTCTGCTGCAGACACTCTTCTTATTCAGGCTGAGAATAAATCTGAACTAGTGAAACTTTAACAAACCATTTTCCTCTGAGAGAAGCTTTCGTTGTAATTCTTTCAGTGTGAAGTTAACCGTTTGTGAAGTAACACTTTCAAAAGTTTCTCCCCCGCCGCTACAGGAAACTGGTTCGTGTAACATTTGATCAGAGTGGAAGATTTTGGGGTTTCCTTTTTCAGACTGTGAGTCAGAGCTTATGTTTTAGAAAAGTTGAAAAGGACACTCTCACTCCTTGTAAATCCTCTTTGGAGGAGGAAGATGGGGGAGGAGAAAAAGACAATGATGGTCACTGCCAAAGATCAGATGTCTAAATCCTGTCTGAATGAAAGAGAGCGAAGCTCTGCCTGATTAATATTAAAATATAACATTTTAATGAAATCCTGCTTCCTGTTTTATCACCTGAGCACCGCTCACATCAGATTATACTAGGTCTGCTCTGAAATATGTCCCTCTCTCTATCCATCTCTCCTGCTCTTAAATATTTCAGGCCTTTGATGAAATATAAATGGGCGACAGAATAGAAGATGACTTCACTTCTCTCTTTTTCCAGATTATTATTTTATTTCTCCGTGCTGAGAGAGAGAGTTAGGGGAGTAAACTGTGAAGTCAGCGTGCAGCGACAGAAAAAAGGGAGGAACCTGAATAAATGAAGCCCGAAGAAATGAAAGAGTTTAATTGTGCAATAAAATAATTTTACGTGAGGGAAAGTGTTCAACCAATCACCTGTTCTTGGTGCGATGTAGACGAGTTTCGGGGCTGCTCGGTGGTGGAGCTGATGAAGAAGGAGGGGACGACGCTCGGACTGACGGTTTCAGGCGGCATCGACAAAGATGGGAAGCCCCGGGTTTCAAACCTGCGACAAGGAGGCATTGCTGCCAGGTAACACATCACTCTGTTTATCTTTCTAATCTTTACATTTTTAGTATTTTTCAGTTTTCTGTTCTGTTCTTTTTGACTCCAGTAGACACGTTTAGAAATACAACAAGACTGAATGACATTTTAAAATCATATTAAATGTGTTTTAATGGGTTTTCAAGTTCTGATGGAGAGTTATTGCGACTGCACATAGCCATAAATCACAAATATCCACTACATACATTTTATTAAAGGGACAGTTCACCCCAAAATGGTGCATTGATTGTCTTGGAGATATTGGCAGTAGAGTTGTCTGCGTTGTCTCCAATCTAATGAAACTAGATGTGGTGCTCAAAGCGCCCAAAAAAATACATTTGAATAACAAAACGACAAAGTCTCGGTCCAGAAATCATGACCCGGTTACATAACATAATCCGTAATCGATTTAGTTGTGAGCAGTTTCATGTAGGAACTATTTCTTTCTCCGTATCTCTGCGCAGAAGGTAGCGTGCATCGCAGCATGTAATCATTAATGGCGTCCTTCTCAGTTGAGCTTTAACGTTAGCTAGCTCTACTGCTGAGATGGCGAACATTCAGTTACGGTTGGTGGGTGTAGTTCAGAACTTTTGTTTAACCAGAAACAGCCGTGGTATCGCCACTGCTTGCTACTGGACTCCATTAACAAAAGCATTAATTTTACCTCACATTAAATTGTAACTTCATAACTTTATTCAAAGTGGACAGAAACTATATATATATAACCTTTAACTTGAGTTAACATAATCTGCAATTTCCCAGCTTGGGATCAATAAAGTATAAATAATTTCCCCTTGGATTATTAAAGTATTTCTGATTCTGATTCTAATATCCGTCTATCTATCTACTCTGTGGAATCAGTTCAGGCTAACTGAAGTCAGGCATTTCCCAACTCCACTATCACAAATTTAACTTCATCAAAGTGAAATCGGAGCAAACGTTCTGACTGTTTGTGCAGGAGCGACCAGCTGAACGTGGGCGACTACATCCGCGCCGTTAACGGCATCAACTTGGCCAAGTTCAGACACGACGAAATCATCAGTCTGCTGAAGAACGTTAGGGGAGCGAGTCGTGCTGGAGGTTGAGTACGAACTACCGCCTGTCTGTAAGTGCTGCCAGTAGTAGTAATATGAGTGGGACATTGGTGCATTAGGAGTATATTTCTAAAGCTGCAGAAGGTCAGAGGTGATGTTTATGTGTTGGTGTTCTGGTGTGTTGCAGCGGTGCAAGGGTCAGGGGTCATGTTTAAGAACGTAGAGGTCACACTTCACAAAGAAGGAAACAGTTTTGGCTTCGTCATCAGAGGTGAGCAGAGCGAGGTGTGTTTTGTGTGCGTGTAGGTGTGTGTGCGTATTAAAAATAAATGCATGACATGACTGTGTTTGCAGGTGGGGCCCATGAAGACAGGAACAAGTCTCGCCCCATCGTCATAACAACCATCAGGCCAGGCGGTCCTGCTGACAGGTGAGTGACCTCCGCCCTGGCTGTCTGTGTGATGTTTATGTCCCTCGAGAGCCTCTGTAGAAACTGTCCTCTTTCTCTCTCTATCTCTCTCTCCAGAGAAGGAACCGTAAAGCCTGGCGATCGGTTGCTAAGCATCGATGGGATTCGTCTCCACGGCAGCACGCTATCAGAGGCCATGAGCATCCTGAAGCAGTGCGGGCAGGAAGCCACGCTGCTGATCGAGTACGACGTCTCAGTGATGGGTCAGTTTAAACTCTATTACTGATTTTAGTGGTTGATAAGCAATTCATTGCGTCATTTCTTTTAGTAAAATGCTAAACTTTACTTTATTTGATGATTTCAGTTTTTCCAATGTGAAGATTTGCTGCTTCTCTTTGTCTTTTATAATAGTAAATTAAATATACTTGCATTTTGAACGCCCCAGAAAGCTCATTAATCTCTATTTCTGATGTTTTATTGACCAAAGAATTAGTCATAATTGTACCGACTAATTGTCAGTTTAATTGATAATGAAAATACTCCAAACTACTTACTAATTCACACTCCACTTCACTACTCCAGTCAGTATCAGACTTTATTGGAGTAGATTATTTCTTGTTTATTAATTTTAACGAAATAAAGATTAATTTTGTACAATAAATTGTTTAGTAATAAATCAGTCCTTAAAACGTTTGTATTGAGGCATTAAGAATGACTAAATAGAAATAGCCAATGATGTTGTTGATGGTTTGTTTATGTAAGTTATAAATAGGCATCTGTTAAATTGAGACTGTTTCATAACCAATTGAAAACTCCTTGTAGTAAGTTTTAAGTAATTTAAAACAAACTTTACAAGATTGAAAAGAATATGTCACAATTTTTGAGGCAATTCTGATGCAAAAATGAAAACAAAGACATAAAAACCAAATAAAAGCTTCAAACACAGTCATTAATCTACTGTTAATGCACAGAAGTGATACATAAAGTTGAGTATCGTCTGCATAATAATGATTCAGAATATTATTAATGTGAATAATAAGACCTGGAGGAATGACATGTAGAGATTAAATGAAACAGGACCAAGAATTTAACCCTGTGGAACCCCTATATGAAGTCTCGTACTGTAAAATACATGAAAATTATTATATAAAACAACAACTTTGTGTGTCCGTGTTGCCCCTCCGTCAGATTCAGTTGCCACGGCGTCAGGACCGCTGCTGGTGGAGGTTGCAAAGGCGACGGGTTCCAGTCTGGGCGTGGCTCTGTCCACCTCCATGTTCTGCAACAAGCAGGTCATCATCATCGACAAGGTCAAACCAGCCAGCATAGCAGACAGGTACCTGACCTCTGACCCCTAACCAGGGAGAGACTCAACTCTTTATCCCCCAATACTCCGAGTACCAGTCGTCTTTTTTATTTTTTAACTGTTGATTGTGTGTTGTGTGTGTGTGTGTGTGTTGTGTGTGTGTGTGTGTGTGTGTGTGTGTGTGTAGGTGTGGTGCTCTTCATGCAGGTGATCACATTCTGTCTGTTGATGGGAAGTCGATGGAGTTTTGTTCTCTGGCTGAAGCCACTCAGCTGCTTTCTGCCTCCTGTCAGACTGTCCGTATGGAGATCCTGCCTCAACACCAGGCCCGACCGGCCCTGAACGCACCACAGCACGGTATAAACACACACATACACAACGGGGCCGACCGGCCCTGAACGCACCACAGCACTCTATAAACACACCAGAGCTATTATAGTTTTGCATTTTTCATTATTTCATTTTATTTATTTATTTATTTTTACATTTTTGTTTTCAGTTCACTTAGTTTCACTCAGTTTCTAACGCGAGTTTGCTTATTTGAGTTCAGTTTATGTTGTTTAAAAATGTTTAGTTTTAGTTTAGTTTCAGTATTTTTAAATTGTAGGTGTTACAATTCAAAAATAGTCTCATAGTCATCTTCACATCCCAGTCTCGATAAACATATGCTCCAACGCCTCCTCATGCTTGTGTCTGACTGGTTCTGTAGTTAATACACAATATTGTTTCAGGTAGTTTTAGTTTTTTCTAAGTCTACTTTCTATCTATCTATAATAACCTTGAAACACACACAGCAGGCCCAACCAGCCCTGAACGCACTACAACATGGTTCCCTTCATTAAAACACACACTAATGTTATTTTTATAGTATTTTATATCACAAATACAAACAACGTACCGAAGAGGATTCAGATCATAATATATCCCGTGGGCTTCGATGCATGCCTCGGGAGAGGGTGAACCACCGCGGTAAAACATACAAATGCATGATTTAATAAAAATTAATAACATACTATAAAAGATTACATAATTAATATGTAATCTTTTATAAAGCTGTGACACAGGCAGCTACCTGACCTCTGACGTTCCTCCTGTCTTAACCTAAACACCCTCCTCTGTGTGTGTGTGTGTGTGTGTGTGTGTGTGTGTGCAGTCAAGGTGCAGCGTAGTCCCCGCCCCCTCCCCTGGGAGACCGGAGGCTCCGCCCCCATTCTCCCTCCCTACCACTACAACACGTACCACCCCGACCAATCAGCTGCCAGATCGCACAACCGCCATACAAACAACCCTCGTACGTCCGCCTCCCGCTCTCTCTCTCTCTCCTTTTCTCTCTCTCTCCCTGAAGTGTGATGTTTTGTTTTTGAGAGAGAGAGAGAGACCTCCGCTCATCACCTCTCTCTCTCTCTGCAGCTCTCAGTCACTCGTTCTCTCCCGGCTCCATGTCGGCCTATAGTCTCTCGTCCCTGAACATGAGCACCCTGCCCAGGAACATGTATCCCACGAGTCCACGGGGCACGCTGATGAGGAGGAAGGCCAAGAAGAAGGACTTTAAGAGTTCCTGTGAGTCTGACAAATCTCTAAAATTCCTCTCAGATCACTGTTGATGTTTTAAATCTCAACTGTTCATCTCCAGTGAGCTGAACCTGAAATTAAAGGTTGTAATAAATCAGAACTCCCCTTAAAGCAGGAGGTTTTCAAACCAAAAACTCTGCCAAAGTACAGCCCGGCTAATCTAAAAACAAGCAAGGAGTTAAATGAAGCCTGGTTACCTGTCACTCAAAGCAGCCACGCCCTTAATTATACATAACTTTAAGCTTTAATATAATTTAAACAGGTCAGTTGTATATAAATTCACCTCCTGTACCGTTGTCATGAACATGAAAATTAGCTCTAGAGACCAAAAGGCTGTAAACATGTTTATTTCTGCTTTAAAGTTTTAATATGGGGCCTTATGGAGACTGACTGCTGGAGCCTCTAGTGGCCGTTAGAGGAACTCGGGGTTGCGCCTGCCTTGGTACAACGTGTAATAAGTTTCATTACTTTTTTTTATCCCTTTAATTAACTTGTGGCCTGTTAGATTCATCCAGAGAACTGCGTTTGGTTTGGTTTTATTTTGCCATAATTAACCTTCACACCACAGCAGGAGAATACAAGAACTAAAATATATAAATAAATATAAAATGAAATGTAAATAATAACAATGTCTCTGTCTTTACTCTCTTTCAGTGTCTCTTGCGTCCAGCACCGTGGGTCTCGCCGGTCAGGTCGTTCACACGGAAACCACGGAGGTTATGTTGCTAGGCGACGGCATCATGGGGTTCGGCCTGCAACTGCAAGGCGGGGTCTTTGCCACGGAAACGCTCTCCTCGCCGCCGCTCATCGCTTACATCGACCCCGACAGCCCAGCGGAGAGGTAATCAGACTACTAATATTACTAATATTACTACTACTGCTGCTGCTAGCAATAATAATAATAATAATAATAATAATAATAATGATGATAATATACTTGTTTTATATATAATTCGATATAATATAATTATTGATTCAATATTAATCAATAATCCGATCCCTCAATGTCACCACTTTTAACAAATTCAATAACACAATTTATTTAATGTATAAATCACCTTTTATATACATTAAATGAAACTTAAATAAGAAAAGTAATATATTAATTAAGAGCAAATAATATAGTTTATTTCTTTTTTTATTTAATTGTATTAGTTCATGTAAAGGGATTTTATTTTATTTTCTATTTTTATCTCGTCTATCCTGTGAGGTTCAAGGTTTATTCAGCTCCAGGCTTCACACACAGAAAATGTAAATAAATATCAGTGTGTGTGTGTGTGTGTGTGTGTGTGTGTGTGTGTGTGTGTGTGTGTGTATGTGTGTGTGTATGTGTCTGTTCTGTGTCTGTGTCTATGTCTGTGTGTCTGTGTGTGTGTGTGTGTGTGTGTGTGTGTAGGTGTGGTATCCTGCAGATCGGTGACAGGATTTTGTCCATAAATGGAGTTCCTACTGAAGACTCGACTCTGGAAGAAACCAATCAGCTGCTGAGAGACTCATCCATCACCGCTCAGCTCACACTGGAGATTGAGTTCGACGTGGCTGGTACACACACACACACACACACACACACACACACACACACACACACACACACACACACACACACACACACACATTCGTGCACACATGGATTTATCCTTAAAGAAATATTAATGTTTTTGATTTTACATTTTCAATTTGTAGTCTATTGAGAGGTTGTATGTATATTATGGTGAAAAGGGAGTGTTTAGTTGTTTATACTGTTAGACTGCAGGTTCACATTTACTGGATCAGTAAATCCAGCTGTTCCTACTCTCTCTCTCTCTCTCTCTCTCTCTCTCTCTCTCTCTCTCTCTCTCTCTCTCTCTCTCTCTCTCTGTCCCTTTCTCTCTCTCCCTCTCTATCTTCAGAGACAGATTCTCTCACAGTCGAAACACTGTGGGGGACAGAATTAATAAAATGAGGAATATTCATTAATCGAACTTTAAGAGGAATATTCAGATGGTTGATTTAGTCAGAAAACAACAGGTTCTTTAATAAACATCCAGGTAAGTTGAGGATGTTTACTTCCTGTGAGAAGCACGGTGAAACTGAAATACAGAAATACAAAATAAAAGACTCTTGCTTTCACATTAACCAGCACTGATAGTCAATAATTGTACAACATGAATACACATCGAAATCTGCTGGCACTACAGTTATCTAACACTGACATACTGACGTGTAAATAGTGTTTTGTCGCATTTTCAGTGATATTGTAGCTGAATTACGTCCATAAATCTGTTACTTTTGTACTTTCCAAGAACCAGTAATGACCAGTAACAGTTACGAAGGCGAGATGGCGATCGGTCAAACAGCTAAACCGACTGAAGAAGACGTTTATTGGAGCGCTGGAGGATGATATCAGTTAATTCAAATAAACTTTAGACTGTTTCAACACAAAGTTTCGTCAAAATTCTCGATTTCAAATGTTCTCTTTATTTATTTATATTTGACATAAATATGTTAAATATGTTTTGTCTTAGTTTCTGTTGAGCTAATGAAATGTGCTGTGAGACAAACAGTCTGGCGTCTGTGTCGTCCTGATTTGGCTCATTGTCTGTGTTCAATGGAACGCCGTCCGCCTGGTATAAATAACCTCCCACGCCTGAGCGGAATAAAACAACACAACATGTTGTCTTTAATGAGTCACAGACAGTGAACGAGTTACTGTACGAGAGGCCGTCCACACACACTAACCACAGGATGCAGCTCGGGACCTGGATCCCAAACCTCTGAACCGCTGCCAATATCTGGGATCGGTTCACTGTTTAAAGATTGTTTAAAGATTGACTGTTGCAAAGATTGTACACGACAGAAGAGAGAGAAGTTTATTTGTGTATAAATAACATATCTCTCTCTCTCCAGTTTTACCTTTAGATGCTTATTTAAATCCTTTAAAACACACTTAGATGTTCAAATGTGTAAAATTATGTATAATATATGTATAATATTCTCTAACCCCTTTTTACTTTAAACATTTTAACAGTGTTACAAGTTAAAGAACATTTTACACTTTATATTATACATATTCTAATGTCTAAGTCTGACCTAAGTGCAGATCTATATTATATTTATTATAGAATAGAATAAGTCTCCATCGTATATATATATTGTGAATTAGGATCCAGTCCTCAACCTTAGAAACCATCAGCCATGTTCTGGTGATAGCTTTGCTTACTGTTGACATTATCCTAAACATATATATACTTTTATTTTATTTATTTATCCTTTTATTATAGACCACCACCCATATGTGCACACTTAAAAGCAGATCCAGGTCCTCTAGTCACCAGTTCTTTAAAAGCACCATATCATAAGTTGTAGTTCCATATAACATCCCATATATCGGAGCTTTATATATGAACAAAATACTGTGATTCTTATATATGCATAAAAGCATCCAGTGGCTTCAAATCTCAAGTCATATGTTCATTTCAAGTACAGTATCTTAAACATTATATCCTCTCCATACCCTTCTTTTTCTCCTGCCAGTAGAGGCTGAGGAAACTCCAGAAAACATGGAAATGATCTGTTACCGTACATTATATTCACATATTCATGATAAAAACGGACAAACAAGCTCTTACATTGAGTGACTGAAGAGATGCCAAGAAAAGTTAAAAGAGATATTACACTTTGTGAGATAATATTGATAATAAAGTCTTTGTTTCTCTCCGCCGTGCCGACCATCTCTGTCTCTGCTTGTGTCTCTCAGAGTCGGTCATCCCCAGTTCAGGAACATTTCACGTGAAGCTCCCAAAGAAACCCGGAGTGGAGCTGGGAATCACCATCAGCTGTGAGTAAAGACAGAAGAGTGAGATATCAGCAGCAACGTGCTTTATAGAAACTCACCTTCATGTATCGGCACGTGGACTTCCTCAGAGGCTCTGCCAAGGCGAGCGCGCCGATACACGTTGGTGTTTAGCCGCGGCAGAAACATCAGTGTATGGAGTTCAGACATTCAGGTTCCCCTCAGGATGAACTCCGATACCTTTGATGATCCGCTTTTCATTTAGCACCATCATCAGGTTTAATTCGTCCAGTACTTTGGTAGTATTTGGTATTTTGACAAACAAATTCAGGCTCAGCTGGTTCCCAACCTGAGGGTACCGAACCCCATTAGGGGACGCCAAAGCTTCACAGGAGGGTTTTATTGATTTTAAGGGGTGTAAGAAAACACCTCTCAGCAATCTCAGCATTTCATTCATTTCTGTGAATAAAACTAAATGTAATTGTTATTTTTAAAGTTTATATTATTATTTAAAGGAGCAGTGTGTAGGATTTACTGAACACAGCTCGCGTCTGTGTTTGACGACCTGGGAATGAGAACAGGCTGTGAAGTTTATATGAGAAACTAAACAAAAACGTGAAAGCTACAGCCAGTGTTTGCTTTGTCTCATTCTCAGGTAACAAAAACACAATAATTCTTATTTTCAGGTGATTATAAACTAATGAATATTATATTTCCTCCTTAATGTCACACACTGGACCTTTAATATATAAACACATTGACAGAGTGTTCACTCTGATAAACTAATAGAACAATGAGTCTGTGTTAGTGTTAGAAATAATAAAAAGAGATAATACAGACAGATATATCAGGAAATAAGCTGCTTGTTTTACACAGACTTATTTATCAGCTGTTCTCATTTAATAAAATACGAAATATCCATAAAATATGTAATTTACTCACTGATAGAAAAGATCTCCCTTAAGGAAGAAGGTTGGGTCCGACTGCTCTGATCTCAGATGGTGAACGTGGATAACATTACACATTAGCATCACCACTGTGAGTGTGTGTGTGTGTTTCCTTTTTTAAATTTGGAAATTATAGTTTTATGATTTCATGTTATTTTTAGCTTGTCCTTACATCCTGTGCACACATTTGTGGAATGAAAGTTTTATTCTGAATGAATGATTTGGACCTCCTCCTGCTGTGATACACATTTGTCAGTTTAATATTACATTTGCTTTGATTTGACTTTTCTTTTTAACATTTAATCATTATCCCGAGCAGCGGAGTAAACGCGCTGCATTATTTACAGTTTTCTTGTTTGAACTTTTCTTTCTGTGTGAAAACATCTCTAACCCGTCTGCCTGTCTGCCTGTCTGTCTGTCTGTCTGTCTCCAGCTCCGTCCAACAGGAAACCAGGTGATCCTCTGATCATCTCCGACATCAAGAAAGGCAGCGTTGCACACAGGTACACACTCACACGACTCGGTATCTGACGGTAGAATTAACTCCTTTATTTACTCACTACATCTTCTAGCACCACGACAGTTAGCTTCTCTTAGCAACAAGTCCATCAGGAAACTTCATAAATCACCCCGGTACCACACACACACACACACACACACACACACACACACACACACACAGGGTTTATAGCAAATGTGGACAGATGGCGGAGAGATGGGCTGCCACGTAGCAGCAGTTTAGGGTTCAGTGCCTTGCTCGAGGGCACTTCAGTAGTAACCAGGAGGTGAACTTCCACCAGTTACCAGTGCACGCTCCAAACTGTGGTCTAGTCCCTACAGACCGAGTTACTGCCGGCCCGATATCTCCCTCTGAGTTAAAGTATAAAGCAGCACAAAATTAAATCAAGTTAATGACCTCAAATTTATATTGATCTGGAAAACCTGGAAATTTAGAGACTAGTTTTCCAGTCATGGAAACACCTGGAAATTCATTCAAATGACCAAATATCCTGGAAATTAGCTGTATTGTCCTGGAAACCTTTAATTGTGTTTTAGCCCCTCACTCAGATTATTGTTTGTAAGATGATCTGTTAAAATCTATTTTGTAAATGCTATAAAATAAAATAAATTGTACTTTATTTGAACTCTTATAAACGTTGACCACCATTGTGTCCTGGAAAAACTCCAAATTGTCCTTGAAAAGTCCTGGAAAATGATCTTTTCCAAAGAGTGGAAGCCCAGACGCACTTTGTGGAGCGTCAGCTGTTTGGAAACTCGCTCAGCTGTCTGTAGTTGGTTAATTAGGCTAACAGTCCAAGCTAGTGTGTGTGTGTGTGTGTGTGTGTGTGTGTGTGTGTGTGTGTGTGTGTGTGCGTGTGCGTGTGCGTGTGCGTGTGCGTGTGTGTGTGTGTTTTGTAGGTCATGTGTTTTGGAGTGTGAAGCAGAAAATGTGAGTTAAAGAGCTTCCGTTGGCCTAACCAGCAGGTAGCATCTGTTAAGTTTACAGTAAGGGAGCATTACTGTATCTGTGTGTCTGTGTTCATGTTGTTGTTGTTTTGTTGTTGTTGTTGTTGTTTTTTCCAGGACGGGAACGTTGGAGTTGGGAGACAAGCTGCTGGCCATCGATAACATCCGGGTGGAGAACTGCTCCATGGAGGAAGCCGTCCAGATCCTCCAGCAGTGCGAGGAACTCGTCAAACTGAAGATCCGAAAAGACGAAGACAACTCCGGTATTAGAGACATTAGAGATTATTTTACCTCCGTCAGGACAGATTATTCTCCTCCCTTCATCTCCGGGGAGATTAAACCTCTAATCATCAGTATGTCGTGTATTGTAGCTGCGTTACTAATTACTAATTAGACTATAAACTGCTGCAATTTAAAGTCTTTTATGAACCTTTTCTTTTATAGAAACATAGTTGAATTTCATCATAAGGAAGAAACACTCCAAACCATTAGAATATATTTATATATATATATATATAAATATATATATATATATATATAGATATATATATACAGGACCCCTCACACCCTCCTCTCAGTGAACCTCTCTCTCAGAACCTCCTTAAAGCCTCCAGTCAGAAATCAGTGTTCCTCCTTGTTCCCACAGTGGGATGGTTGAGTGATGGATGTGCAGAGTTTGACTCTAGAAGGATGTTTTTACATTCAGCTGCTGAAAGAAGAAAGTTTCTCAGAGCTCACTGAGTGTCTGAATTTAAGGGGCGGGGCCTACGAGCATGATTTGTGACCTCATAAGTAGTTCAGGAAGTCAGTCCTGGTCCAGCAGCGCACAGACACTGAGAGTGGACTCCACAGTGAAGGAGGAGATTAGTTTTTAAGGGTTTAAATGTGGAAATGGTACTTTTATTAGCAGACACATTATAGTTCCAAGCAGACTGTGTGTATATATGTTGTAATGTATGTCTGGAGGGAAGCTTTAAGGGACTGTAGGAACTAATAAAGGAGCTCTAAACCCTCTTCATTGTCCCCTATAACATCCCTCAGTCAATAACACCACACTGTCCTTACGTCTGCTCACCACTACATTAAAGTGTGTTTATTGTATTCATTACGTGTTTATTTACTGCTTATAAAGGTGTTGAATGAATCTTTATTGAACGTTTCAGATGAGCAGGAAGTGTCTGGCAGCATCATCTACACCGTGGAGCTGCAGCGGTACGGAGGCCCGCTGGGAATCACCATCTCCGGCACCGAGGAGCCCTTCGACCCCATCATCATCTCCTCGCTGAGCAAGGGAGGGCTCGCTGAGAGGTACACACACACACTATTATATTATCTCACATTAATCACAGGGTTGGTTCTGGGTTCAGAGGTTTCACACAGGGAGTAAACTGAATATATTTAGTGTTTATTTGCTTCTTTTATAGGTTTATTTGTTGTTTTTATACTAATATTGTCTTTGAGTTCCTTTTAAAGCACTAATATATAATAAATATATAATAAATATTAGTATTTTTTACTATTTAGACTCTCAACTAATAAAAAAACACTCAAACTTCACAGTTAGAACAAGAGTTAATAATAATAACAAACATTTAAAGCATTAAAACACTGAAACAAGTCGTCCAGTTAAAGCTGCAGTAGGTAACTTTGTTATATTTGCTGAAACTAAATGTCTCAACGTCGCTGTGTTGAGTTCAATGGATGATCTCAGATATTAAATGACATCAAGCTGCATCCTCAGTTTGATTTAATGACGTAATAGTTTGATCAGTAACTGTAATGTGATGTAATGTGATTACTGAATGAAGACTGCTGATCAGTGATGGTGAGTTCAGATCAGGATGAAGTGGAGAATGTCGCCCTCTGCTGTTAATAATAAATAATATTATACATTTAGTTTATTTTTTTATTCTGTTTTATTTTATAAACACTAACAGGAAGGAATTTACCTTTGATATTTTATATTTCTGTGTGTGTGTGTCTGTGTGTGTGTGTGTGTGTTGTGTTGTTTGTGTGTGTGTGTGTGTGTAGGACCGGTGCGATCCACGTAGGAGATCGTATCCTGGCGATCAACAGCAGCAGTCTGAAGGGGAAACCTCTGAGTGAAGCCATCAGTCTGCTGCAGCAAGCAGGAGAGACGGTGACACTGAAGATCAAGAAGCAGGGAGAACGTACGTACACACACTGATACACACTGACACACACTGACACACACTGACACACACTGATACACACTGATACACACACTGATACACACTAATACACACTAATACACACTGATACACACTGACACACACTAATACACACTGATACACACTGACACACACTAATACACACTGACACACACACTGACACACACTGACACACACTGATACACATTGACACACACTGACACACACTGACACACACTGATACACACTGAACACACACTGATACACACTGACACACACTGATACACACTGACACACACTGACACACACTAATACACACTGACACACACTAATACACACTGATACACACTGATACACACACTGATACACACTGACACACTGATACACACACTGATACACACTGACACACACTAATACACACTGACACACACTAATACACACTGACACACACACTGATACACACTGATACACACTGACACACACTGACACACACTGACACACACTGACACACATTGACACACACTGACACACACTGATACACACTGACACACACTGACACACATTGACACACACTGACACACACTGACACACACTGACACACACTGACACACACTGACACACACTGACACACACTATACACACTTAATACACACTAATACACACTGACACACACTGACACACATAATGACACACACATAAAACACTGAACACACACACACTAATACACACTGACACACACTGACACACACACTGACACACACTGATACACACACTGATACACACTGACACACACTGACACACACTGACACACACTGACACACACACTGACACACACTAATACACACTGACACACACTGACACACACTAATACACACTGACACACACTGACACACACTAATACACACTGACACACACACTAATACACACTGACACACACTGACACACACTAATACACACTGACACACACACTGACACACACTGACACACACTGATACACACACTAATACACACTAATACACACTGATACACACTGACACACACTGACACACACTGATACACACACTGACACACACTAATACACACTGACACACACTGACACACACACTGACACACACTGATACACAGTAATACACACTGACACACACTAATACACACTGACACACACTGATACACACTGATACACACACTGACACACACTAATACACACTGACACCACTACACACACACTGACACACACTGACACACACTAATACACACTAACACACACTGACACACACTGACACACACTGACACACACTGACACACACTGACACACACTGATACACACTGACACACACTGACACACACTAATACACACTAATACACACTGACACACACTAATACACACTGATACACACTGACACACACTGATACACACTGATACACACTGACACACACTAATACACACTGACACACACACTGATACACACTGACACACACTGACACACTACATTATCTTTGATCTTGAATCAACGTCCATCAATCCGTTGTTAGAAATCCTGATTCTCCTTTTAACTGCAGAACCTGAGAATCATCACGTTTAACTCTTCTTCAGTATCCGAGTAATCCGGTGATCGTTGTCGGCGCCAGTTTGCCAAAACATGAACAAATAAAGATTTAAACTAAAGTTCAAGTTGTCAAAACCGCTGACGACAAACCAGATAAAACTAAACTTTTGCTTTGCTAATAAGGATCCTCTTTCTCTTTAGTGTCCAGCCCGAAGTCCTGTGTGATTGGTCCAGGCCTGGTGCCGGGGGCGGGGCTTGTCCGCGAGCACCAGGACGGGGAGGAGGAGCCTGTCGTCATGGTTGCGCCTCTGTCAAGCCAGAGAGCGTTCAGCACGCTACCGTCAGTCGACAGCGCTGTGGAGTCCTGGGACGGATCCAACGTGGACAGCAGCTTCACCAGCCCGGGTAGGAAACTGACCTCTGACCTCTGACCTTCAAGGTTTAAGTCAAGCCGGCTCCTAATGACTGTGGTAATAAAATATTTCTGTGTGTCTGCGTGTAGCTCCACCATTTCAGTCGTCTCCGTACAGTTTCCACGAGTGGCGCAACGCCAAGACAACCAACAGCCAATCGTCTTCCTCCGCCCGCCAGAGAGCCAATCCGCTGTCAGATCTCGGACTGAGTGACGACGACTGGGACCGCCCACCGCTTGGAGGGTGAGAGAGACGGATGAAAACACCTAATAATAGCTTATATTAAAGGTTCGGGACCCCCACAGAAACACTCGGGGTTGAGACGACTTTAAAATATACACAGATGGCCGATAGCTCTTCACTCTCTGCTCAACAACCTCGTGCTGCATGAGAAAACAAACAAAGAGCTAATGAACAATGAGAAGAAAACACTGAATGTGTCAAAAAAAGAAGCTTATTACGTCTGTATGATTAAAGAAGGACAGTTTATCAGTTGTTCTGTACTGTTACTGTTATAAATGTATGTATATATTAAATATAGTCACTGATATTAAAGGGTCCCTTAAGGAAAAAGGCTGGGAACCATTGATATATGATCAATAACTTATATAATAAGTCAGATATATCAAAGTCGTCAGGAAATTAAAGCAATTAGCAGTTGGGAGAAGGATCTGAATTTAATTACATCACCAGAAACACCTAAAGTTGATGTTAGTTAATTAGTGGCACTTTAAAATGAGCTTCAGTTCAACCAACTACAACAGCATATATAAATATATAATAACATAAATATTATATATATATTTAATACTGTCAACCAGCTGGTTCCTCTGTAGAGCTTTAAGAGTTCAGATAACAACAAACAGTTGCTATAAATCTGATTTCTTGGGAAGTAATGATTTTAACTCCTACACTTCTAAAGTTCCCCTAACATTAGCGTGTTAGCGTTCCTTATTCAAATCAGTGGGAGTTGCTAGCCGCGAGCTAACAGCAGTAACAGCAGTGTGTCTCTGTCTGCAGTGCCTGTAATCTGCCCAGCGGTCTAATCACTGACAGCAGGTACCACAATGACCTTTGACCTTTAACCCCCATACAGTCAGTCCTCTGTCACCCCTCTGACCTCCAGCAGAAACCCTCACCTGGTGACCTTTGACCCCCCCCCTCACTGACACATACACCTGATGGATGTGTATGTTGTCACAGCACCTGTCCTCACCAGCATGACCTGTTCTGTCACCAGTGTACTCCTGTGTGTGTGTGTGTGTGTGTGTGTGTGTGTGTGTGAATCCTCCAGGATGTTCTTCTCTCTGACTGGCTGACCTTTGACCTTTCTCTCAGGTTCACTGTGGGTCATGATGGGACAGAACCGGACCAGGAGGAGAACTTCTGGTCTCAGGCTCTGGAGGATCTGGAGACCTGCGGCCAGAGCGGCATCCTCAGAGAGCTGGAGGTGAGTAGTACTGTGGAAGGTACTATTATTAGACATAGTAATAATAATAATAATAATAATAGTAATAATAATAATAGTAATAATGATAATAGTAGAATTAATAGTAATATTAGGCGTAGTATGAGTAGTAGTTGGAGGGCTGGGTATAATTTGAAATATGTTTTTCTTCACTTTAAACATGTTTTTGTGTTTTAAAAGGTTTCTTAAAAGTTAAATTTGGTCTAAATACACCAGATTTTGTTCCCCATTCATTTCAACGAGAAACAGGAGGCGACATTGAACCTCCATCGTTTGCTTCTTGTGTCACAGTTCAACCAGATACAGTTATATCACCGTTTGCAAACTGTGATATAAGTCAATTGTTAATTCTAAACCGATTATACGATACGATAATATTACGTTTCGATTCCTTTGAAAATGTTTAAATGACGACTTTGAGTAGAGTGCTGCAGGAATGAGTCCTCAAACCTGTAACTCAGTTAGCATTTTAGTATTTCTTTAGCAGGTTCCCCCCCGATGTGAGTGTGGTTTTGGTTACAATCCTGAAATAAGATCTTGAGAGATTTTCATGTTTCGTTCTACAACATAAGATACGTCAGTAAATACACCTCCTGGGAATTTTTAAGCTTTTAAGTGTCTTAACGGTTGCTAACAAGTGGCTAAAAGAGACGACAGTTGACGCCGAACGCGGAGACGTATCTACTCACTAGTCCGCGCTGTAGTTCGTTGATAGCTGCAGTTCGACGTCAGCTTTTTACTTACTTCATAGATTATCTTGCTGAACAAGTGAGTATTATAAACCACAGAGATTGTTTTTCTACATAAAACCTAAAATCCAGTGGAACTTCACATCATCCCTGCAGCACTCTGTTATCGCCCAGCCCTACAGTGAGTGGTTTACTGGTACTAACAGTAAGAGCAGACATACTTCTCATGCTGAAAGAACTACATGTTTGTTAGAAATACAGACGTAAAATGGAGTAATTAAGCTGAAAAGAGAAATGACTCCTTCTCTTCCAGGAGTCTGCAAAGGAAACGCACCTCCTCACTCTGGTATCCTCCTTCCTCCCCCTCTACTAACTCTCCTCCTGTCCTCTCCTCTCTCTCCTCTCTGTAACTGGAGTCGTAGCGTTGTGAAACATCAGACATGTTAGCTGTTTTTTGAATGTGACTCTAACACTGCACCCCAGCAGCAAGCTACAGACCATGGTGACGTCATTGTGACATCTTAGTGACATCACCCAGCTTCTGACCAATCACGTGGCAGAGTCATGTTGCACCGGGGCATGGCAGTTTGAGCAAGGCATGCTGGGAGAGCTTGTGCAAGATTGGCCTGATGGGTAGTTTTGTTTTGCCGGTCATGAAGCAGATCTGTCAAGTCATGCATGCGTCTGATGAGTCCTTGATTCTGATTGGCTGAGACGTGGGCATCTGTTGAGTGATGTGAGAAGACTTGGACAAAAAAAACATTAAAATACAAGTAGAAGCTGGAAACTCAGTAGAAACAATAGTAGATTCTTAATAAATAATAGTAGTCCATTAATATTACCTGTAACTGTGGATACTGTCAGTAGATCATTTAAAGGTTCAGTGTGTAGGATGTACAAACATGGTGGCCTCCTTGGAAGGCGTCTCAAGATAAAAAAGGTTAATTTTAAGGTAACAAAATTCTTATTTTCAGGTGATTTATACACTAATGAAAACATACTTAAGAATATTATTTTACATTTCTGACAATAGATACTCTTAAATAATACACCAGGGTTCAATGACACTTAAAAAACAACCCAGTTTTGTCCACCTTGCTCTTAAACTTGCGGCGCCATCAAACAAAACTCCTGTTTCCAGGATAATTGATTGTTCGCTTGCTCTTTGGCCACCATTTTATCGTGAGTTTCCAGTCAGTACTGAGCATGTGCGACACTCAATAAAAATGAGAAGGAAGCAAGATGGCTTACAACTTAGCTACTACTACATCAGCTGTGGAGAAAACGAGTTTACCACTCGCCCCCTCTACACACTGGACCTTTGAGTAAATCTGACCGTAGACACAGTTCGTACATCTGTAAATACCAACAGCAGTAGATCCTCGCAAGCAACAACAACCACATTAGATTCTGTCAGCAATAATATTATCAATCCTTATGGTAGTAGATCTATTAGATCTATTAGAAACAACACTGGAAACAAAAGTAGTCAGTTGTTACTACCATTAGCAACTGAAGTCGCATTTCCACCCCAAGTACCAAGAACTTTTAGTCCCAAGAACTACTTTTCAAGTAACTAAAAGGTTCCTTCAGCCCATTGTTGTCTTCATTTCCACTAAAATGCTGCAAGTACTCGACCAATCAAAAATATTAAGTGCTGCAAGCCCCACCCTCAAAGTTCCTGTACTTTTGGAAAGTACTACTCCCCAAGCAGAGACTTTTTCTGCTAAATTTAGATGCTGGTCCCTGTGGTGGAAACGCGGCTTCAAATAGATCCTTGTCATTGATTAGCTTTAGATTTTATATGTTCTGCAGTAGATTATTAACAACAGTAGATCACTGCAGTACCAATAACTGTCTAAAGATCACATGAATGGATCGTAGAGGCGAGTAGATAGACGAGTCAGAAACAGCTGGGGAACCATCAGAAGAAGAAACAATAGAATCTATTAGTAGATCAGTAGAGACCTGTCCTGTCCTGGTGTGATCATGGGAACTGGGGTCAGACTCCCAGGATGCCTTTGACCTCCATGTTTGTGATGGATCCAACTGGCTGTGTTTGTCTGACTGTGATTGGATGTTTTTGATTGGCTGTCTCCAGGCAACCATCATGTCAGGCTCCAGCCTCAGTCTGAACCACGACCCCACGCCCCTGCGTAGCACACTGGGCCGCCAAGCGAGCTTCCAGGAACGCAGCAACTCCAGACCGCAGGTAACCGGAACTGACCTCTGACCTCTGGCCTAACAAGTGACTCTTAGACTTGACTATACTTGTGTTGTTTTATGTCATAACTTAAACGTGAGTGTCTGTGCGTTTTCTCAGGTAACAGCTCGGTCCAACACCTTGCCCTCTGACCCCCAGCGCCGAGCCTTTGCCATGAGGAAGATGAGGCAAGAAGTCAACGAGATCCTAAACCAGAACCCTGTGGAACTCCACAAGGTGACGTTTGACCCTTTGCCACAGAATTTCAAAGTGACATTAATCCACTAGTTGTGATCCTAACAGAGTGTGTCTGTGTTTGTAGCTGACTCTAGAGAAGGCCTCAGATCTGGAGGATTTTGGTTTCAGTGTTTCTGACGGTTTGTTGGACCGCGGCGTCTACGTTAGCAACATCCGACCTGGAGGCCCGGCAGAGCGGGGTGGCCTCCGAGCCTATGACCGAATACTACAGGTACAAAAACACGAGAATCTACAGACACGGTGGTATGTCTCTGAAGTAAATGCTAGAGGTGGAACCAAGCCTCAAGTCTCAATTCTTTGCACTCAAGTACCAAAAAAAGTCTCAAGTCAAGATCCAGATTATTAGTTTTGAGTCGTTAACAAGTCACCGTCACCAAATGTACCAACAACAGAATGAACAAATGAAATTATTTTTGGTATGATTGGATGCTGACGGACTGGTACAAACAACGTGGATTTCGGAGTTTTTTTGATTTTGTCATGTGAAGTCTAAAGTCATGAAATTTCTGACGCAAGTGACTCAAGTCAGCAGCATACAACGCTCACAATGAACAAGGCTACCAAGGTGATGTTAAGCAGGTATAATGTTTAGCATATTAACCATTTTAGTTTAGCATGCTAAAAACTTTAACTAGCAGTGAACACCAAGTACAGCTGAGGCCGATGGAAATGTGAGAAGACCAAAGTGTTCATCCTGTTTAATCCCGATCAAACCGCTAACGTTGATACTAAGAAGACACTAGTCCCTGAAAAACTCACCTCTTGGGCAGACCCCATTAACCATTTACATTTAATGTCTTCCAGATTAACCACGTGCGGACAAGGGACTTTGACTGCTGCCTCGTCGTTCCGCTGATCGCCGAGTCTCCAAACCACCTGGAGCTCGTCATCAGCCGGAACCCCACCTCCTCCTGCCTGTTGGCCAATCACACTGATGGCACCACCAACAGCAGTCACTCCCCTCAGCCAATCGGCGGCGACCTGGGACCGTCAGAGTTCTCCATTGGCCAGGTAGAGGATGGTGGTCCGATCAAGTGGAGCCAGCCGGGAGACGGGCTGGGAGCGGCACTTGGGGTGGGGTTTGGTGTCGGGCAGGTGAATAATAAATCCGTATAGCAGAAAAAAACTGGACGAAACTGGATTAAACCAGTTTTAACCAGACTGGACTGGAGAGGTCAACAAGGAGAACAATACAACAAAGTTGAATTAAACTGGTTTAGACCCATCCAAACTGGTTCAGAGTGGACCCCCCATGGTGCTACACACCCTCTGGATGAACTTTGACCCTTGACCACTAAAGTTCGACCTTTGAACTGCTAAAGCAGCCTGAAAGCACACTGATGGACTGGAGCAACTCCTCACCTTTTCACCTGAACCAGTTCTGTATACTGGTCCTGCTGGTGTCACTGGAACCATAACTATGACTACTGATCTGAGTAGAACCACTGGAGCATCTGGTCTTACTGGTCCAGGATTAATGGGTACTGGTTCTGCTAGCCCAGAGCCATGGCTACTGAATCTGCTGAAGCCAGAGCCACAGCCAATGGTCTTACTGGTTCAAGACATGTGAGTTCTGGTCTTAGTGGTTTGAGAATCATGGCTACTAATTCCACTTAAACCAGAGTCATAGCCAGTGGCCTTACTGGTCCAAGACACATGGGCTCTGGTTTAATGGTTACAGAACCATGGCCCTACTGAAGCCACAACTAATGGTCTTACTGGTCCAAGACACATGGGCTCTGGTCTTAGTTGTGACAGAACCATGGTTACTGGTTCCACTGGAGGCAGAGCCACAGCCAGTGGTGTTACTGGTCCAAGATATGGTTCTTGTTCATGGTCTTAGTGGTCACAGAATCGTGGGTACTAAGCTAGAGCCATGACCACTGCTTCTACCAGTCAAGAGCTGTGGCTTCTCGTCCATATGGTCTTACTGGAACCAGAACCATGGCGTCTGGTTGTACTGGCCAAGAACCACAGCAGCACAAAGACTGATGGGACTCTAGAATCCAGAACTTGCTGGTTGCCAAGAGGACTAGGGATGCTCCGATCAGGCCGTTTAGGGCTGATGTCAAAACAGATTCTGATTACTGATAACGGTTTCTGTTTTTAAACATTATAAAGAAAACCTCCTGTAGAAGAAACCATTATAAAACCCACTACTGTGATTTATGACAAAGTCTTAACGTCACTTGCTGCTACTCGCTTCGACAATTACAACCTCTGGATGTCTCTATTAAATGAAGGAGTTTGGGCTTTCCAGTCCATCAGGTCTTTGGACAGTGAAGTCCTGGGTATGCTTGAAACAAGTATGGATCCCACCAGGGTTATTGGTAGAAGTACCTTTCCCACTAAAGTAGCTCTGGTTCTTGAATCTGTTCCATTCAAGATTCTTGGAACCTTGTTCCTAGCGTACCGGCCTGTGTTCCCACCGCCAACAATAACCTGCTATAACAGGCCTTTTCCACCAACAAGGAATGGGCTCTGTTCTGGTTCTCGCACCTCGTTTTGAACAGTTTGGAGCATTTCAACCTAAAATAAATTGGTTACCAAAGCTCCACTCAAAATCGGTGGGAACGTGGGCTAGTTCTCTAGATAGCAACAAGGTTCAAGAGTCTTGGATGGAATTGGTTAAAGACCCAGAACCAGTTTGAAAGGAAAAGGGGCCTTAGTGGCCCAGAAGGTTGGGTTCCGATAAGATTAAAGATGGCTATGGTTAAGTGGAAGCATAAAGTTGAAAACAATTGTTTAGGTTTAAGATCATCAAAGATGTTTGGGTTTCGGTGAAGATTTGGTGTCGGTCAGGTTAGAATCTAAAAGGGATCGGATCCACAACAAGATACAGCTGCTCGAATCTGATTCTGACAGGCTGGTTGATTCTCCGAAAGTCCATTAGAAAAGAGTTGTCCGTTAAAAACAGCACCTTGAGTTCCTCTTAGTGGCTGGACATCTTAATACTTTGTGCAATAGAAAGCATTTCACTGGTTTTACAGAAGCACAAACATCGGATAGAAACTGTAAAATTAGTGAGTAGTCGTGGTGCTTTGGTTCCTGATCTTGAATTGCTGCTACAATTGTTTTGCAACCGCTCAGACGTCACTGTTTAAAACCCAGAAACTCCAAATCTTTTGAAAACAGTCTCACAGCAGCTCTAGAGCTACAAAACTATTTCCTCCGAGGTCAAGAAGAATCCTTAAATCGATGTTTTGATGAAACATCTTCAATTCAATGACAACTTCCTCTGCTAAGGAAGGTCATGTGATAAGATAAAAACAAACTCCACAGCAGCTACTAAACGGATTATTTTCTCAACAAAAAGAAAACACGTTAATATTTCTCCACAGATTTCGAACATTAACCAACCGCAGTGGAAAAAGAAAACAAAGAATAAATGGTTTCCAATAATAATCAGCTGGTTCTGATCGGAGCTTCCCTAACGAGACGGACGGAAAGACAGAAAGAGGTTTTACTGTTAAAATATTAGTTCTGTGCCATGAACGAGCTTCAGACTGGAAGAATAATAATAATCAATAATGATGATGATGATGATGATGATGATGATGACACTGAGCAGTTCAATAAGAATCTTTTTCTACTGTTTACACCTGTTGGACTGGCCACACTGTGTGTATGTGTGTGTGTGTGTGTGTTGTGTGTGTGTGTTTGTATGTTATGTGTGTG